GGCCAACTGACTGGAAGAGATCTATATTTGTTCCCATTCCAAAGAAGGGTGACCCAACAGAATGTGAAACTACAGAACAATATCACTGATTTTGTATGCAAGATTCTACTGAAGATTATCCAAAAACGACTGGAACAGCACATCAGCAGAGAACTGCCTGAAGTCCAGGCTGGGTTTAAAAGAGGCATTAGGGATTTTGTAGCTAATGATAGATGGATCTTAGCTGAAAGCAAGGAACAATAGAAGAATGTCTATCTGTGTTTCATTGATTATACAAAGGTGATTAACTGTATGGATCATAACAGACTTTGGCTGACTCTGAGAAGAATGAGAACCCCAGAACACTTGATCATGCTACTGTGAAATCTATACTTGGGCCAAGAGGCAGTTGTCAGAACAGAGCAAGGAAACACTGCATGGTTCAAAATGGCAAAGAGTGTATGCCAGGGATCTGTCCTGTCTCCATACCTTTTCAATCTGTATGCATAACAGATTATCTGAGAGGCTGGGCTCTATGAGAAGTGTGGTTTCAGGATTGGTGGAAGATCTATTAACAATCTGTGTTAAGTAGATGACACAACCCTGCTTGCTGAAACTGAGGAGGACCTGAAGCTCTTGCTGCAGAGGGTCAAGGACTGCAGCCTTCAATATGGATTGAGGCTCAATGTAAAGAAGACAAAGTTTCTCACCACTGGACCAATTGGCAGCATCAGGATGGATGGTGAAGAGATTGAGATTGTTAACAACTTTAGTCTCCTTGTCTCCATGGTCAACACTCTTGGCACCAGCAGCTATGAAATTAAAAGACGTATTTTGATGGGAAAGTCTGCTATTAGGGACCTCTCCAGGGTACTGAAGATCAATGGTGTCTCTCTGGAGACTAAGGTGCATCTGATATAGGCCATTGTCTTTGCTATCACTTGTTATTCGTCAGAGAGTTGGATAATGACTAGAGAGGATAGAAGGAGAATTAATGCCTTTGAGCTGTGGTGCTGGAGAAGAGTATTGAGGGTACCATGGACTTCTAAGAGAACAAACAGATTCATCCTGGAGAGGGTTAAACCGGGCCGCTCCTTGGAGGCAAGGATTCTGGGGCTTCGTCAGACATAATTTGGACATGTTTAAGGAGGGACCATCCTTGGAGAGGGACATCGTGCTTGGTAGGGTGGAGGGACAGTGCAGCAGGGGAAGACCCTCTATGAGGTGGATTGATTCAGTGACTGGGGTAATCAGGATAGGTGTGTCAGAGGCACTGCAATTGGCAGAGGATAGAGCAAAGTTTAGGGCTGCTGTACAAAGGGTCACTATGGGTCACAAGCAACTTGAAGGCACATAACAACAAAAATATGAAGTATTTTTAATTTTGTTATTAATTATTAAAAGTACGACCAAGCTAATTCAGAATTTATTAAGCTGAAAGAACTAAAGAACAAATTCAAGCTGGGAATTGGAATAGTTAAGGATGCCATGGGCAGAATGTTGAATGATACAGGAAGCATTATAAGAGGATGGAAGAAGTATGCAGAGTCACTGCATCAAAAAGAATTGGCTGAAACAAAGAATTTTAAGAAGTAACATGTGATCAAGAGGCAATGGTGATGAAGTACGAAGTTCAGGTTGCTCTGAAGAATTTGGCAAAAAATAAAGCCCCAGGAATTGATGGAATACAATTTGATATATTTCAACAAACAGATTGCTACCCTGGACATGCTCACTAGGTTGTGCAACGATATCTGGAGACAACTACCTGGTCAACTGACTGGAGAGATCCATATTTATGCCCATCCCAAAAAATGGTGACCCAAAAGAATGTAGAAATTATCAAATGGTATCATTAATATTACACATAAGGAAGATTCTGGTGAAGATTTAAAAAAAAATGATTGAAACAGTACATTGACAGAGAACTATCAGAGATACAAGTGGGGTTAAGAAGAAGTTATGACACTAGAGACATTATTACCAATATGAGATGGATCTTGGCAGAAAACAAAAAGTACCAAAGGAAAGTCTATGTTTCATTGACTATGAAAAAGCATTTCACAGTGTGGATCAAGATAAATTGTGGCTAACTTTGAGGAGAATGGGAATCCCAGAACACTTGATTGTGCTCATGCGAAACCTATACTTGGACCAGGAAGCAGTCCTTAAAACAGAAAGAGAATAGTGCGTGGTTTAAAATCAAGAAAGGAGTGTGTCAGGGATGTGTCTTGTCTCCCTACCTTTTCAAACTATATGGAGAACATATCATTCTGGATTTTGGGCTTTATGAGGAGGAATGTGGCATCAAGATTGGAGGAATACTCATCAACAGCCTACATTATGTAGATGACACATCCTTGCTTGCTGAACCTGAAGAGGACCTAAAGTGCTTAATGCAGAAGGTCAAAGACTGTAGTCTTCAATATTAATTGAAGCTCAACATCAAGAAGACAAAGATTCTGACCACTCGGCCAACTGGAAGCACCATGATAAGATGGAGAAGAGATAGAGATTGTTAACAGTTTCAGCTTGTTCAGCTCCACAATCAACACTCTTGGCACCAGCAGTTAGGAAATCAAAAGAATTGCATTGGGAAAATCTGCTATCAGGACCTCTCTATAATATTAAGAAACAACAATATCAGTCTAGAGACTAAGGTGTACCTGAATGGGGCCATGATCTTTGTAATTATTTGCTATGCATCAGAGAGCTGGACAATGACTAAGGATGAC